GATGCTTATCTTGCTGGGATCCTATGACCCCAGCTGATTCCTGCCCTTTGGGCAGGGGGCTGGACTTGATGATCTTCCGAGGTCCCTTCCAGCCCTGATGATGTCTATGAAAGTGGAAACAGAGAGAGTGCCCAAAGGAAAAAAAAGGAAAGAAAGAGGTTCACAAGAAATTCTTTTTGTTGAGAGAGAGAAGACTGTTTTTGGTACTGGTTGAGGGATTTATCAAGGCCCTTCACCCCCATTTGCTGCTAAACTAAGCTATCATGAAAAGGTAAATGATCAGAACACTACACAGTCCAAATACAGGCGATGAGGAAAACATGAAAATGTCATTAAATGTTGTGATTCTCAGCCTTTTTAAACTCCAGGCATCCCTCATTAGACTCAAGGCACCCCTCAGAAAATGTCAGCTCTTAGCTTTCACTCATTTTTTGATTACAGAAAAATAAAAGAGCAAGTCTTCTGTTGCAAAGAACTCAAAGACCACAACAGGTCAGAATATTTTTAACACACTGGATTCCTATTTGAAATCTCTGAGTTTACCTTGCAAATCGTGTATAGGTGTTTGTACTCTCAGTGCCCGTAAAGGGATTTCATGGCAGCCCAGGGTGCCACAGCACTCTGATTGGGAACCACTGCTCTAAAATCAGGGCTGATACAAGTCTGCATGTGGCTCTGTACATTTCCCTGATAACACAGGCCTCAGTCCACTGACTTCTTTCTATGCAGTCATCCTAACCCACTGTTTTCTCCTCACTGATGATCCCCACTGATGTCTGTCACATCCATCAGCCTCTGATGCTCATCCACTTTCATCCACGAGAGGTTGAACTGATGTTCAAACTTTCAAAAAGAAGCAGAAAAGAATAGGTAAAAGAATTTCATCTGTCACGACTTACTAGCATTAGTGTTAGAAAAAGTTACAGGCAAAGAATGGAAAATGGCAGGTCAAGTGGAGATATAAATTAAAGATCCACACTGGCGATGCATAGAGGGTGCATGGCCTGTCAGGCTGAACTCCCCACTTAGGTGACAAGCAGGGGGGCAGGTGAGAGTGCCAGTGCCCCCCCCCCC